GGGAGCTCTGTGGGGAGCGGGGGTAGTGAGGCTGAGGGGACCGAGGGCAGCCACGGGTGCTGAGGGGAGCAGCAGAGCCCGAGGGCACCGAGCCGAGAGGGGTTGAGGGAAGGCGGGGGTCCTAAGGGGAGCCATTGAGTTGGAGGCGACCCGAGCCCTGGAGGGCTGAGGGCAGCCCTGGGCTCTGAGGGGACCGAGCTGAGAGGGGCTGAGGGGAGGTGGAAGCTCTGAGGGCAGCCCTGGGCTCTGAGTGGAGGCGGGATCCTGAGGGTACCGAGCTGCGGGATCTGATAGCAGCCGTGGGCTCTGAGGGCACCGAGCCGAGAGGGGCTATGGGGAGGCCGGAGCTCTGTGGGGAGCCGTGAGGGGCTGAGGTGACCGAGGGCAGCCAGGAGTGTTGAGGGGATGCGGGATCCTGAGGGGAGCAGCGGAGCCCGAGGGCACCGAGCCGACAAGGGCTGAGGAGAGGCGGGGTCCTAAGGGGAGCCATGAGCTCTGGAGGCGATCCCTGGGGGGCTGAGAGCAGCCGTGGGCTCTGAGGGGACCGAGCCCTGGGGGGCTGAGGGCAGCCGTGGGCTCTGAGGGCAGGCGGGATCCTGAGGGGAGCCGCGGAGCCTGAGGGCACCGAGCCGAGAGGGGTTGAGGGAAGATGGGGTCCTAAGGGGAGCCATGGGCCCTGATGGCAGCCGCGGAGCCTGAAGGCTCCGATCTGAGGGCAGCCGTGGGCTCTGAGGAGACCCAGCCGAGAGGGGCTGAGGAGAGGTGGAAGGCGGGGTCCTAAGGAGAGCCATGAGCTCTGGAGGTGACCCGAGCCCTGGGGGGCTGAGGGCAGCCGTGGGCTCTGAGGGCAGGCGGGATCCTGAGGGGAGCCGCGGAGCCTGAGGGCACCGAGCCGATGGGGGCTGAGGGGAGGCGGGGTCCTAAGGGGAGCCATGGGCTCTGAGGGGACCGAGCCCTGGGGGGCTGAGGGCAGCCGTGGGCTCTGAGGGGAGCAGCGGATCCTGAGGGCACCGAGCTGCAGGATCTGAGGGCAGCCATGGGCTCTGAGGGGACCGAGGCGAGGGGGGCTGAGGGCAGCCATGGGCTCTGTGGTGAGCCGCGGAGCTTGAGGGCACCGAGCTGCGGAGGCGACCCAAGCCCTGGGGGGCTGAGGGGAGCAGTGGATCCAGAGGGCACCAAGCTGTGGGATCTGAGGGCAGCTATGGGCTCTGAGGGGATCAAGGCAAGTGGGGCTGAGGGCAGCCATGGGCTCTGTGGGGAGCCGCGGAGCTTGAGGGCACCGAGCTGCGGAGGGCAGAGGGGAGACATGGGCTCTGAGGGGAGGCGGGATCCTGAGGGCACCGAACTGTGGGGGGGTGGAGGGGAGCCGGGTGCCCTAGGGGAGCCATGGGATTTGAGGGTGGGTGGGATCCTGAGAGGAGCCATGGACTCTGAGGGGACTGAGCTTTGGGGGGCCGAGGGCAGCAGCCATGGGCCGTGGACTCTGAGGGGACTGAGGCGTTGGGGGCTGAGGGGAGTCATGTGCTCTGAAAGGAGCCATGGGCTTTGAGGGGGGGCTCTGAGGGGACCGAGCCCCTCAGACTGAGCCTCCAGGGCGGTGGGATGTCTGAGGGGAGGTGGGATGCTGAGGGAAGCCATGGGCTCTGAGGGGAGCAAGGGGCCTAGAGGATCTGTTGCAAGATGCGGGTCACCCCTCCGTGCATCCCCACTGCTTGCCCACATCCCTGCCGCTTACCCGCAGCCAGTGCTATCAGTTGTGTCCCACCGGGCTCTGGAGGGCAGGGACACACCTTGGGTCCCACTCTGTGGAGGTGGCTTCCAGGGACGGGCATTTCTGGTGTGTTTTTCCCAAGTGAACCCTCGTCGCAGCTTCCTGGTGTTAGAGAGATGGGTGCTGGTAGGACACAGCCTTTGAGGTGTTTTTACCACATTCAGCGGTAAATTGTTTTTGTGGTTTTTTTTTTTTCCCATGTTGCTCTTAGTTGGAAGTAACAGGTATTTTTTTTCACTTTAAGAGACACCAAGAGTAAATTGCTGCTTTTTTTTTTTTTTTTTTTTTTTTTCCGTGTTGCTCTTAGTTGGAAGTAACAGGTATTTTTTTTCACTTTAAGAGACACCAGGTTGGTAGTGAACTCTCCTTGCAAAGGCTCTGGGCAGGACGGTGCTTGGCAGATCCCTGAGCGTTCAGTCCACGGCAGCAGACGCTGTTGTGGCACCAACACAAGCTAAGAAATCAGCAGCTCCTCACTCTCCTTGGCCAGATAAATGTTTCTAATGCTGCTGATAGCCCGAGTTAACCCTGTCTCCAGCGGAGTGGGGCTACAGCCGTGCGGTTTGACGGTTCTCTGCACTCGATCTGAATGCAGAGCACAAGGAGATAAAATTGCCGTCTGTAGCAGATAATGAAAGTTTTGGCCTCTGTTGGGCATAACTTTCACCCATTGTCGTAAAATTTCACAAGAATGACATTTATACAGTTATTTTTAGTGGCGTTTTTTAGCCAATTCTCTTTTCTACTGGTGGGATTTAGTTGTGACTCTTTCTGGTCATTGTGACTTTGCTTCCCAGGGAAGTGCTAATTTTGTGCCACCGTCAAATTAATTACAAGTAGGGGATAGCACACAGAGATTTAATTAGGGCATGGATGTACAGTATGGATTCTTGAGCAACAGTTGGTAGCACCGGGTCCAGCTTTTTCATTGGGTGTTTAGGAGGATGAACAAAACCCTTGCATTTGACAGACAGTTGATTATTCCTGTTGTTATTTCCATGTCTTCTGCCCCCTGTAAGCCAAGGATAATTGGTAGAAAAAAAAAAAAACAACAACTGTCCCTTTCTGTTAGAAATGTGTTTCATGGTGATGTTCAGCAAACCAGCCGTCAGTCCTGGGACCAAACCTCACCTTTCTTCAGGTCATTTAAAAGGGGAAAACTGTTTTGTTTTGTGTCAAGACTTGTGATTGGGAAGATGAAAGTTTCCCTTTTTTGTATTTTTGATTCTTTCCAAGTATATTCTAAAGTTATGTGTGTGCCTTCCTGGGGGGACCGAGCTCCGTTCTACGAGGTGGGATATGTAAGAATTGTTAAAAGAAAGTGAATGTACAAACACACAGGTAATTTGAGCCTTATTGTGCCCTTCCTTATTTCCCCCACACCACTGGAAACAGCTGAAAGTCCCGTATTTCCAGCAATCCTAAAATTAACCCCAGTGTTTCTGCAGTGCTAAAAAGGCAGGAGGGGACGATGTTTGTTTTCCCTCTGGCGTCGCGCTGGTGACTGCAGCGGGTCGGGAGGGCTCGGCGGTGGGTGGGGAGAACCCTTACATATTCTCTGTGTCTGACGAATGCGCAGGCAGCTCGGCGTCCGTCCTCCTCCTCTCTCTGGTCAGCGGCAACGGCTCCTAACGAGTAGACGGTGTTGGGGATTGAAGCCGGGGTGTAGAGTATTTTGACGGCAGGGATTTCCCGTGCGACGGTGCAGGCGGGGATCCTGGATGGGCAGGGGCTCCTGACCATGTCTGCGGCTGAGGAGGAGGGGAGGTAAGGGGGTGAGGGGGTGAGGGGCTCACGGCTGAAGCTCAGGTGAGCTGGGGCTGATGGGGTGGCTGCTGCTCTGGGTCGGTTGTGCTGAGTGGAGGTCTCTGCCCTGGGAGTATTTCTGTGGCTCTGTGTAAGAAAACAATCCCTTTTCAGTATCTTTCTTGAAAAAATGGTAACTCAACTGACATCTCTGAATTGAAATGGCAAAGGATGGGGCAAAACGGAAGAAGGAGCAGGTTTTATTATGCCTTGACACACGCGTTTGGAGGTTTGTCTTTCAGATCAAAGTGAAGTTTGTTTTGCAAGACAATCTCCTGTTTCTTCACCTGTGCTGAAAACACATTCAGCTGCTACTCGTTGTGGCTACTTGGGTTCGTCCCCCGGCTTCTCTCATCCTTGCCATGGCTTTTAAAACTGGCTTCATCGAGTTTCAGATCAGTATCAATTGTGAAAAGTTATTAAAAAAATCTTAATGATTGGCTGTGCCCTTACCAACCTTTAGTACTTGTAGCACTAACATTGTGAGTTTGTGTTATCGCTGGTGCAGTGAATTATGGCTAATAGACAGCATTTTAACTTAAAAATCTTAAGTGTTTTCCTAATTGATGCAGCAACGATAAGTTTTTTGGGTTTCTTAAAGCAGCTCACGGGTCTGAGTGCATGATTATAAACGAGGAATTGTCATGAAGTACTTGTTTTCTAGGTGTGTTCCACATGTACCCGCTCTCAGCTCTTCATTAATGATTATTTTTGCCTGTTACTTTGAAGCAAGCATCCAAGTCATCACAGATAACTTACAAGTGATGCAAATAACAGTAAATAACTGAAAAAATCAGGCTCACAGGCTGAGATCACAGCGTCTCACTTTGAATGATCTAGAGAAGAGCCCCGAAAGGGTCAGAAAACGCGCAGACAGTGAGGAACTTCCAGCGGTCCTGTCCGTCTCTTAACAAAGGGAAGATTAAAAGAAAACTCGTGAAGGAAATGGTTTATGACTGTGTTTGTGGGGACAAAGGTGTGCGAAGGCAGTGATTGGATGCTGGGCAAGTTTAGACCAATTTTAAGAATTTAGCAAAGATTTTAGAAAGTGCTGAAGAGTTTTAATTGTAGACAAAGATTTTCTGAAGAATTTTCTGTGGTTTAAAAGGTGTGCTGAAGAGTTTTAATTGGAGACACAGATTTTTCTGAAGAATTTTCTGTGGTTTAAAAGGTAATTAAGTTGGGAATTGTGTTGCATAGGTGAAACTTTATCTTATTAAAAGGTCTTTTCTGGCATCCTGTGGCTTTATAGCTGACAAGGGCAAGATTCAAGAGCAAAATTCTTATAAGCTGTGAAATCTAATCGCTGATGGAGAGCTTGCGATGAATTTTAACACGCAGACTTGTTGACTTAGTAACTTACTGTCTGCCAGCAACTTCTGTGAGTCCAAAAAAACCCCGGGCTCTCCTGAAACATCACTTTTTGCCAAGCAAAGGATGAGATCCATGTGGCTGTAGTGCCTGCCACAGGATGTAGGTGTGCTCAGCCACACAGGACCAGCAAAGCAACCTGGTACGTTAGGACTGGGTTACTCCTGGTTCCTTACTGGTTCCTGCTGTGCCTCGGGTGTGTGTGCTGGGGGAGCTGGAGCCAGCAGGCGCTCGCCGTGCGACTGACGCTTCTTTTTCGACCGAGCCGTGATGCCGGCGTGTGAGGACTTGTTACTTCATAGTGAGCTTTCAGCCAAGAGCTGCTGAAGCACAGCAGGGAACGTGTGAGCCGGGATCGGGGGAAGCCGGGCAGACACTGCTCAGCAGGTTGGGTTTTGGTGATTTGCTGACGTTCACCTTGCGGTCATTTGTACCTGGGAGGGCTGAGGGGCTGAGAAGAAAAGTTATGGATTCAGTCTGTAGCCTCTCTAACAGTGTCGACCAGGAGGCAATTTTGTGACTCTTTCCTAATGGCACTTCAGATTTTCACTGTCTTTTTTTTGAAACATCGGCAACACAAACAGAATTACTTCACGGTGAGGGTGACAGAGCCCTGGAACAGGCTGCCCAGGGAGGTCGTGGAGTCCCCTTCTCTGAAGGTTTTCAAGATCCACCTGGATGCAGTCCTAAGTAACATGCTCTAGCTCTAGGCAATCCTGCTTTAGCAGGGGAGTTGGACTAGATGATCTCTATGGTCCCTTCCAACTCTAAAAATTCACTGAAATTCAGTGAAATTCAGTGAATTGTAGCAGGTACCAATTTTATGCTTTTTCCTTATTGCTCAGACCGGATTCCCTGGATGGGCGGCACAAACTCGGACAGCGGTAACGATCGTTAAACAGTTGGAGTAAAATCCTGGGCAGATAATGGACCCCTTTGTTGTCTGGCCGCTCCGCAGTCCGAGAGGATGGGCGCTGCTGTCTCATTAGGGGGAAAGTGATCCTTTCTTCCCACCCCATTTCCAGCTTTTGTTTTTTGTGCTGCCACTTGACAAAGTGTTTTATGGAGGTTTTGCTCCAGATTTTTTAGTCTGGTTGATAGGAAGTAAATTATTCCAGTGAACAAAGTTCCATTAATATTCCCTATTTCTTATGCTCGCTCTACTTTAACACAGCTGACCTGTGTGGAGACACACCATCCTTCTGAGCATCCCTGCCCAGCACCTGGGAAGACTCCCCGAATCACAGATGTGTCTCCAAAAACAGGTCCCCGTGCCACAGCCTGGTCAGCCCCCAAAGGGCGGCCGCGCTGCCACCTCCGTGTGGGGAATCGATCTCCTTTGCCCTGTTTTGTGAGTGAATGTTTTATTGCAGGACCCCGTGTCGTTATCAGCCCCTCCAGCTGGGCTTTGCACTTCCCGCGAGCAGCGGGAGTGGAATTCCACTGTCCTGCACTTGTGCCATCTAATAACTTGCTGTGCTTGCTTTTGACTCAAATTGTGGTTATTAACGGTCAAATTCTGTTCAATCACATTTCACTTGCTGCGTTCAATGCTGCTCCATGTCTAAATTCTGCCTCTGAAAAGAATCCCATCCTTTTTAGGATGGCCATTCTTTCTCATGGTGTTGGTAGGCTGTTTGCTTTCTGTCAAAAGCCACAAAAATGAATTTTATCTTCAAAATTCTCCTTGGAGAGGACGAAGGCACTGTTAGATATCTGACCTCCTCATACCATAAATATGAATGGTTATCACTGTTTGAGTAGTGACGCACGGCTCTCCCCCAATTGTGGATTGTCTGGAAGATCTGGTTGGGATTTTTAAAAACTTGGCTTTCTTTTGTGTCAAAGGAGGATTTAAGGTGAAAGTTCCCTGATGTGCTGTGGGCTAAATTGATATGTGTCTGGCTGGGCAGTTACGACGTTACTGGGTATTTTCTGGTGAAGGAAATACTGAGAGCGGTAAATGTGATCGCAAACACAGATAACAGTTTCATACCTCGGTATTGGCTCGTAATTCCTTAATGATTACGTTTCAAAGAAGAACCCGGGGCTTTAAGTAATAACAGAAGTTACGAGGTTTTCTGTCTCTATAAATAAAAAGCTATATTTGGAAAAACCGAATAGTGTATTTATGGACAAAACTGTATAAAGGGAAATGTGATGGAAAAATTGAGTCAGATGAGCTGATGTATGAGGCATTTCCCTGTGGAATCATTGGGCTGAAAAATGTTTTATGTGCCTGAACTTGAACAGATGCTTCAACACACACACACACACACATGTACAATCCCCCTAGTTTAATATTAGCAATTCTGTTCATACCACTGTGATTAATTCACGAACCAGCCTGTTTTAGTCTCTTTTCCGGGGGCTAATGGGTATTGCCAGATCATCCAGGTACTTAAGCCCGTGCCTAACTGTAAATATGCGAGCAGCCCGGTTATTAGCAGGATTTCTTTCAAGCTTTACGTTAGGCATGTGCTTAAATGACTCACTGACCTGGGATTTACATTTTTACAGAGGAGCGAAGGATTTCTCCCTATTACCTTGCTTAGATGAAAATCGTTGGAGTCAGCCAGCTTTTTTGCCTAAATAAGGACATGATACCAGCTTTCGGCTCTTACAGATATTAGTTCCACCTTTTTAGTTACAAATTTGTCAGAAGAGACTTCTGAGTGTGTGTGCCTGACCTCGTTTAAGATCCTGTTGAAGTAGAAAGAGAAGACATACAGAAGGGTGACGGGTGGATTGTGCCTGCTGTTCTTAGTACGACTGTTGCGTTCGGTGGCTGACAGTTGCATTTTAGTATTTTTCCTTTGAACGCCTGTTGTGGTGTCCTGCTCAGCCCTTCATCTGCTTTCCCGGGGTCGTATTATTTGCCTTGTAGGTATCTGTGCACAGCGCTTCCTCTCTTCTGAAAATCCCCAAAGCCATCCCAAAAAACAATCAGCGCCTTGGAGCCCGTTGTTTCTCCTTTGCTTTTCTGATTGAGCTAAACTGGGGAAGGAATGTGGGAAAAGGACGTCTGGGTCTGAACCTGGGTCCAGGTGTGGTGGGTTTCGGGATGAGCGATGGTGCTTGTGGCATCGGGGGACATCGACTCCTCGTGGTGACATTTGAGGGTGTAGAGAGGGGGGGGTTGGTCTCTTTTCTCAAGTCACAGGCGACAGGACAAGAGGAAATGGCCTCAAGTTACACCAGGGGAGGTTCAGGCTGGATATTAGGAAAAATTTTTTCACTGAAAGGGTCATCAGCCCTTGGAATGGGCTGCCCAGGGAGGTGGTTGAGGCCCCATCCCTGGAGGTGTTCAAAAGACGGGTTGATGTAGTGCTGGGAGGTCTGGTTTAGTGATGATGTTCCTTGTTTGTTGTGTGGGTGTCTATTTTTGTCAGTTAGGTTGATGGTTGGACAAGATGATCTTTAAGGTCCCTTCCAACCTAGAAGATTCTGTGATCCCAGCGTTGGGCACTGGGGAGTGGTGCGGCCGTGCCAGACGTGGGTCTAACAAGTCATCGTCTGTAAAGTTCTGTATCTCTCTTCATGCTTAAAATAGTAGAGAGGCTGGAAGGGTGATGTATTTCTTGTGTGTA